GAGCAACCTGGGCTAGTGGAGGGTGTCCCTGCCCATGGCAGGGGGGTTGGAACTTGATGATCTTTAAGGTCCTTTCCAACCCAAACCATTCTATGATTCTATGACTTATAGTCACCAAGTATCTGAAGTCTGATATGTTTTATGCCTTTATTTGGATGAAGGGAGGGAATAGAGAATTCACGTCAGAGACAGAATTACAGAGGCAGATTTCAGGCTTTCAGCTCTGTTTCCCCTACAGGTTCAGTCCATATAGATTTGGTAAAGGCTTTCTTGAGAAACAGTAATCTTAAACAAAGAAACAGGCAAACACTTTCTTCAGATTCATAAGTGTCTTGTGTAGTTTCACAGAGTCAGCGCCCGGTACTTGAAGTCTGTTTACTTCAAACTCAACGTGTAGTAACGCAGTCATGAATAGCCTGTGCTAGTGACAGTCTTGCCAGTTAGTGATTGTAGCCTTTCATATTACACAGCTTGTCTTGGAGGAAGGACCATAGAATTCATGTTTTGTAGTGATGACAAGAAGACTTGCTTTCATGCATGGTTATGCAATACTGGTTTTCACTATCCATATGCAAATACTTGCATCAGTTGCTTGCTTTCAGCAACATCCTTAGTCTACTTTAGTGGTTTGCATTAGTGGTTTACAAATACTTGTATAGACTTAACTGTTGTACAGCAACAACGTGACTTTGATATCTTTAACTATGGCTGTGCTGCTTCCCTTAGTTGGTGTAAGCTGCAAACAAACAAAAAAAAGATCTTTTGTAATTTCTTCACCTACAAGGCAAAGCCTGTTTGGCATGGGGCAGCAGAAAATGTCAAACCAGCTGTAAGCCATAACATAATTCAAATATCCTGCATTCTGACAGGTAAATTGGTCCTAAACCCTTACAGCTTATCATAACTTCTTATGGCCTACTGGTCTTTTTATGTGACTACAGTAAATGTCTGCCTATAAAGGAGAACGTGTACTTTCTGAGGAACAGCTTCAAAAATATTTTGTTGTATACATACTGTCTTTACTGTATTAACAAACTTCAGTTCTTATTTGTACAGTACAGATTCTTGTAAGGTGTTATTGAAGAAGAAATCAAATTGTAAAGCTTGGAAATGAGCGGGAGACCTGAGCCTAAAAGCCTGAGAATTGGAATCAGTACAGGGTTCTTAGATGTACTGGTTACTTTTAAAACAGGTATAACTGTTTGTCGGTTAGCCCTCATTGATGTAATGTTCTTTTCATTTTAAGGCTCACCAACAGAGCAGAAAAGCGGACCGTTTGTTGGCAGCAGGGAAATACGAAGAAGCAATTTCTTGTCACAAAAAAGCTGCTGGTGAGTAGGTATTTCTCACATAACAGCTCTTAAAATCAGTTTCTAGATTTGCATGGTTCATGGAAGTAGAATATCTAGTTACTTGCAAAATTTTTATTCTTAAGAGCACCCTTTTGGAAACCTTTTTTTCTGGTATGAGCAGCCAAAGTCAGATGTCTCCAAAGTTGTTTTGGGGGTGCTTATCACTGGTGAAGGCAGTTCTTGACTCAAGATGAAGCCTACACCTTGTCATGCACAAACTACAGTTGGGTACTTGTTTCACTTCACACTTTGTATTTTCTTCACTACTTTCACAGCTGGAGTCACCTGCTTTCTCTGTTGACAAAGGAAATGCTTAGACAAATGTTTGCTTACAAAAGTTTACTTTCCTCATGTCTGAATCAAGACAGCTAAGAACGGGTGACGAGTTCAGCTCTCCCAGAATTCAAGCAAAACAGCAGATTGCATTGCAGGCCTTGACACTGCGATTGATGGCCTCTCCTAAATGAGACTCTGTGCATTTACCTGTCCGTTTGTCTAGTCATGCTTAGTTATTTGTGCTGGAGACTGTCAGCTATGTGACAGCACAGCCACTGCTTGGCAGAAGAAGAAAGAAGAGGTCTTAATTGGTGCAACAACTAGGACATTCCCTGTGACAGGGCTTGTGTGGAGACAAAATAAGTGTCTACTCTGAACATCGTAACCTAGATACCAGGCATTCTCACTTTCCATTCTTAAATACTAGAAAAGCCCATAAAATGACAAACTGATAGTTTCTTTGGTATTTATGAATACTCAGAGCAACAAGGGATAGCACTTACATTCTGATATGCAGACTTTTCTTTTTGGTTTCCTTCACTTCATATACTAATACAAAACCCAGAAATGCATTGCATGTTTCTTGCTTTTCTTCATCTGATGAATCTATACCATTTTCTTATATCTTTCCGAATTTGGTTAAGAATTTCTTATATCTTGTCATTTTCAGATATGCTAGCAAGATATGCTCAAAGTCTGAAGTGCTGTTCTGACTCTAAGCCAGCACATTTTCTGGTTTGGAGGGGAAGTTGATGAACCAAGTGGGGAACTACAGGCTATACCTCTTCATCAAGAATAGAACTAAAAAGCATGACTTCATAATAACTGGTGTGCCATGGGCGAGTGGATTCATTTTACTTACCACATTTTGTCGTAAAATGCTTGTATGTTAAAAGCCTGGTCCTTAGCTGTGTTTCTTCCCTTCATGGGAAAGGTGTTCTTTTGGGACTCTCTGGAAATGGCTGCTGTCCTCCTCTGAAAAACAAATTGGAACAACCTGAGCCAAGAGGATGCCATGGGAAGGGTGTAGTATGTATTACATGATCTTAGAGTAATTTTTTCAGACTTTTAAAAAACAGCACATGTTTCCAGACACTGTAACTTGGTAACTATTTTGCCTCTGGACTGCTGCTTTTATGTGGGGATTCAGAATACAGAAGGTCTGAAGCCTTTTCCTAGGTTTTATGGAAATGGTTCAGGTTTTGTAACCCTGTCCTAAATGTTTATAAATTTTCTCTTCCGCAGCATACCTTACAGACGCTATGAAGCTGACCCAGTCAGAGCAGGTGAGACCAAAGTGCAGCAGATGCCAGAATCGGCCATAGCTCTGTCGTATGCCTCTGTGTCCTATTGTGCCCTGACGGATCATACCCCCCTTGGGTGTTAGCCTCTGCATAGTTTTCCGAACCTGTGGCAACTGCACCAGGAGTTCTAGAAGTGCAGTGATGCTAGCCTTCTGAGAGGGTTTTTCCAAGTTTATGTGGAGCAGGGACAAGAGAACTACTAACCCATGCAAGGGTTCTCCAACAATAGTTTCTAGTCTGCAAAGCATCTTCAAGTAGGTGATAAAACTAGTTTCATATTTAACTTTTGCTGTGAGGCACTTGGGCTGTTTTTCTGAGACACAAAGATGAGAATCTGATCTACAGTCTGTAATTTTGGTTTTATTCATCCTGATCTCCAGAAAAACAGCCCTACACCTTTCCTTATTTATGCACAAATCTATCTGTGAATGTAGTAGTGTAGTCTGCTCAGCACTTTTACAGCAGGAGGCTTTGAGTTTAGCCAGTATTATCAAAGCAGATAACCCTTGGAGATCAGACATCTGTCTTTCCTCCAAAGGGTCATTCTTTGTAGAAAAACAGTAGCCTCTTACCCAGATGGTTCCTGTGAGTTACTAACCACCATGCCACCCCCTTCATTAAATATATGGATAAATCATTTGGGACTGTATTTGGCCTTGGAGCACTTTTCTGCTTGGTGTTGGCTGTTACTAATATGTCTGCACAGACACCATCACAGAAGCATGTAAATAGTTTGTATTATTTAGCTGAAGTGTAGCTGTGCATGCCAAGTGAATCTCTTCCTTCTTGGTGTTGGTCAGAGCTCAGTTAAACTCCTAGTGCCTCAGCTCAGAGGTACTGTAGCCTGGTCAGTGACTTAAAAACAAAAAACCAAACAAAAATAAAAGGCCAAATGTTAACTTACTCCTTCACAATACCAGTCGTTATGCTAAATTTGTGTGACATATCTGAATCTTGCACTGTACAAGCAGAGATCACTTCTTGTTGGATTTAGTCTCTGAATAATAAAAGCTCTTCCCCTTCCTCAGGCATGCTGTGATGTTGTCTATGTAAATGTTTACATGCATGTAACTTTATGTGCGTGAATATTCAGGTGGGATTAGGGATCACTAATTAAATTGTTTAATCTTGTTCTTACCCAGGCTCAGCTATCACTGGAATTACAAAGGGATAGTCACATGAAACAGTTACTGCTCATCCAGGAGAGGTGGAAAAGGGCAAAGAGGGAGGAAAAGCTGAAAGCCCAGCAGAATGCTGACAAGGAAATAGCCGCGCACCTTCAGACTTCTTATAAGCCATCTGCTGAAGATTCTGATGATCAAAACGTACTGGTTCCTGTAACTCAGAAGTACAGCCCTTCCACAGAGAGACATCCACAGGATATGCAGGGTGTCTTTGACAGGGACCCAGATACACTATTATTTCTGCTTCAGAAAAAAAAGGAGCCGGTGGAAGCATGTATTGGGAGTAAAGCTCCAAAAGATGACAAAACAATAATAGAAGAGCAGGCAACCAAAATTGTAGATTTGAAACGGCACATAGAATTTCTTGTAGCTGAAAATGAGAGATTAAGGAGAGAAAATAAGCAGTTAAAAGCAGAAAGAGCTAGACTCCAAAAATCTCCGGTAGACAAGGAGTTGGATGTAGATGCTGACTTTGTCGAGAAGTCAGAGTTGTGGGGTCTGCAGCAACACTCAGAAACTACTTCTTCAGCTGCAACTTGGCAGAAGTTTGCAACAACTCCTGGGAAGGCAAAGGACATTCCAATACCTAACCTTCCCCCCCTGGACATCCCATCCCCTGAACTCCCTCTGCTGGAACTCTCCGAAGATATACTGAAAGGACTGATGAATAGTTAAAAGCCAGGAAAAGTGCTCAATGTAGTTACCCAAACTTACTTAAGAAAAGGGAAAGCCACCAGGATGCTGGTGATCTGAGGGCAGGAACATCTACCACAATCTTACTGTTGGAGAAAAGGCATTAAAGCAACTTTGTTACTGTGAAATACACATCATATCTGATCTACTTCATAAAGTTAAAGGTACCATGATGGGTATAAGATGGCAAGCTCTTTAGTCTTTCTCCCAATGTTTCAAACCAAATGACTGCCTGGAGAATGTTTCAAGTAACACAATCCTTCAGGTTTATAAAGTATGCTATACGTAATAGTTACCTATAATGCCATAAATGATGGTGCAAAACCTAACTGTTATGGTTGCCAGTTGCCACTGGCACTTCATATTGAAAAATGCTTTCTAGCATGAATTTAAACTGTGCATTTCATTATGCATAACTTTGTTAATTCAGATACAGTGCGATTTATACACCTCCTAGATGGATTTACGTGCCACACTCTATGCTCCTGACCACGTTAACCTCAAGACAGGAGAGATTTAATTTCCATTCTATGAAGGAACCAACTTACTAGTTCTGTTGACGAGTTTTTTTGGTTTATCTGTTTACATAACTAATCAGGGTGCATCGAATCTAGCTATTGGTTTCTGTATAAAGTGACACTGCTTAAAAAAGAAAAATCTATACTTAAGGAAAAATACCCTTTTTGTTTTCAGTGATGCATGAATGGAAGTAATTCTAGCTGGCAGCATTTGATTGAAAAAGAAATTGTTTACAGCTTAACCTGATTCAAAAAGGATATGAAAATAAAAACCAAGGTGTTTTGACACTAAACGTGTGTTAAATCTCTACAAATGTTGCAGAGTATAAAAAAACAAATTAAGATTTATACTACCAGTGTTAGTACACACGTACAGCTGAACTTCTGTGTTCATCATCTGGCAAATAGGGGAAAGCTGGGATGAATTCAGAGGGCTTTGCCTGTCCGTGAAGTGACTTGGCTAATAACTGGCTTGTAACACCTACAGAGCGCTGCAGTGGCAGGGGGAGCTGCACTATGGTTTTACTTGGGGACAGGCTACCCAGAGCTGAACAAACTGCACCGCAAGAGCTGGGCACACCCATTCAGGGTTTGGGTTTCTGGGGAGGGCGGTGCAGCCGTCCTCACACTCAGCCCGTTTCAGCGTGGATCAGCCTATGCCCTGCCCTGGAGCATTAGCCAGTTCTGCCCTGTGCTGGAGTGTTACCTGGACCCAGGCTTTCCGAGGTGCGGTGTTGCAATGTGTAGTGGAGGCATTGGTTAACTTTAGCTGTTACTGATTAATGAAAAGCGTTAAGTGTTGCAAACTTAATGTTTTAAGTTACTTTTGTGCTGTTACAAGGTCATCTTGCTTTCTGAGGGCACATTTCTCTTCCAGAATAGACTTGGAAGTGCAGCAAGAACACTTTAATGCTGGGCAAATTCTCTTACCTCTGTATACCTGGTGACTCCTGTGCTTTCTTGAAGGAGAGTGGGGACTGGAGGCTACAAAAAGCCTATGGAAACAAAAGTATGACAAGTTCATTAGAGGAGGTCCCTTGTGCTGAATTGTAGCAGGAAACTAATCTTGGTGGGAGAAAAAAAGTTATTTTCAGTTGCGAGCAGTTTAGCAGGTGGCCCCACTGAACAGCTGCAATCACGTAACCTGTTCTAGGTCAGCCCCAGCTTGCTGCTCTCACCAAAGGGCAAGTTACATTCTCCACTGTCACCTGCCTGGCTGCTACAGGTGACACAGCAGTGGAGCATAGTGTTTCTGGTCATGTAAGTAAAGCAAAGAAAATGGTATGTGCTCACAGGAAGGAAATAAAATTATTTAAGCACCTATCTCATGTCGCTGCCAGGGGTGATAGCCCAGGGCTGTTAGCTACAGACAGAGAAGGAAGCACTTTTTAGCCTGGCTACCTCTGCTGAAGAGTCAGGATTCCTCAGGAGGGGTGGTAGGGGAATTGCAAGCTCTACCTTCTGTTTTTAAGACTAAACTGTCCCTCCGTATATAGATGCATAAACAAAACACCAGATCTGAAGGAAACTGCTTTGCTACAGGAATATAACCAAGTAGGGGCAAAACACCATGCTACTACTTTTTAAAGTAGTGTTAAAACTTTTCTCTCTCCTGCAATGCAAACGTCTGTTTGTTCTTGCAGTCTGCCTACTCACCATGACTGCTGCTGAAATCAAACTCCAGGCAGCATGGCTTAGCACGAGAGTTTTCCACTCTGGTGAGTGATGCAGAAAGGAGAATGGGTGCAATGTTCCCTTTAACAGGACAGGAGCACTGAGCTGCATTATAAACACAGCTAGCGTTTCTGCGAGCGGTACACAGCCCCACTGAGGTGATGTGGAAAGCTGAGTATTTCTGTTTAATACAGACACCATCCTAGAGCTGGAGCGGGCGATATCCGTAAAGGGTCAGAGCACAGCCTAGTGAACAACACACGTGCTCCTGCTGCTGAAAGGAGAGCCCTGGCACTGCCAGCTGCTTTCCCGTCCTTCCACGCAGCAGCACGGTCAGCCAGCCATGAAGCCTACAGAAAGACAGGCACGTGGGAGCAGGTACCATCACCGCTTTCAGCAGCAGCACAGGACATTTATAAAACATCTACAGCTGAGAAGCCGTTGAATAACGACTTTGCCTTATAAAATTCTTTACATTCCAGGAAAAAAGCTAAATGTATTAAATAAGATGATGCCGGCCCC